TAAAAAAAAGAACATATATAATTAAAATAATTCAATAAAATTAAAAGTTTACCAATTGAGTAAATGCGTTTTTCTTACAATTTGATTTAGAATCCTGAAAAATAAAGATACAACATGGAAATATTACACCTAACATTCCTGTAAAGGTTTTTTGCAGATTACCAAAAAGATTAATAATGACGGAGGCACATTTTTAAAAAGCACCTCCTCGTGTATCGAAAGACATTCGAATTTTTTTTTTTTTTCGAAAATTAAATTAAAGCGTATACACAACAATTAAATACTAATAAGAATAAGTACTGCGCTTTTTAACAAAATTAATAACTTAACCTTGTTTGGAAAAAAAAAAAGATACAACATAATAAACAACTGACTGAAGATAATTAGAAAATTAATATGCGCTACGGCCATCTTTAATTTAAAAAGAAGAAAAAAAACAGAACTTGAAAGAAATTAAGAACAAACCTCGTATTGTAGGATATCACGTATCATGTGGATTAATAAAAGAGATTGTTTAACTAACTTCTTTTAATACTTCATCTTCAAACGATAAATGATATGATAGTTGAAGTGCAAGTCAAAGAACTATTGAAGGTAGAATCATGATAAAAGAAGAAAAAAAGAAAGGTTAACTAATAAAAAATCATTTGTAAACACAGTGCTATCTAAGCGATAAATGAAAAAATAAGTAACAATGTACTTAATAAATAAACAATCTCAGACTAGAAAATTATCTCGGAGGAACAGACGATTTTTTCTTTTTTATCAACCATATTTGAAAGTACTTGCAGATGGCAACAGTGAAGAAAGATAACAAAATGTAAACCATCGCCCGATTTTTTTATTCATAAATCAGAGCTCAAACGTCAACAGTTGCGAGCGGTACGAAAATAAATTTTCAAAATCTGTGCAAAGGTTACGCGTTTTCCCACGACTATATCAACGAAGCCTACTTATACGAATTTTTATTTTTCCTCAGAATACATTAATATGCACTACAGATGCATTGATTATCTTAACATTGCAACACAAACATTACAGGTTTTATAAATTCGATTTTTAGAATTTTAAGTAAATTAAAAAAGTATTCATGCATTTCAATTCACGGAGCCCTGCATTCTAGAAAGAATTTTAATGTTTTTGACCTTTATTTCCCTCGCCAAATAACACAAGTAATTTTCCTTACTATTTCTATCAAGAAAGAAAGAAAAAAAAACAGAATATTTCATAATCAATTTTAAACGACTACCAAGTCAAATTCTAACTATTCAAATCAAATTCTAACTAGCTTTGTGACTTATGATTAGAACTTAATCGAACTAATTTTTTATTCTCCTTATTTAAGTCAAATAAACTATCGTAGAGTAATAAAAATACCCTTACTCTTTTTAAAATATAGATAAAAATAAAATTTATTGTTAAAGTGTTCGATAACATCAGACTTATGAGCCCAAGTAATTCACTGATTACGTTATTCACTTTTCGGATACTTCAGAATTACTAAATGTATTAAGTATAAAAAAATTACTCTTCATCTATTATTTATCCAATAAATTTAAATTTAGTTTCATACTAACACTTTCAGTATAAATATTAAATTAAATAAAATACTGAACCATAAAATCAAAAATGATTATACATGAAATTAGTATCCATACAAACCCTTACGAAATCATGTCATAAACCACAGATTTTTCAATTTTTTTGCTTATTTTTTTTACTTAGCTTTAGATATTATAAGCCACGGAACCAAAGAATAAATTTAAATGTAAGGGACTGCCCACATATTACCCTCTACCCCTTGTCGCCAAAAACAAATTACGATTACCAAAATAAACATATTTAAGATTTTACTGTAGCGATAGCAATCAAATTTAAAAACTACTATAATTGATTAAGTGTTATCAGATTTTTTCTGCATAAAAGAACTCAGAAAAAATTTTGAACCTCAGAACGCACAACCTAGAATTATGTAATGTTGCTCTCCCCAAATTTCACCTTTTTCTGATGTCTATTATTATGGGAAAACTCTATTTTTAATTTTTTGAATATAAAAGTATCGTCTTTCAGCCACGTTCCAGTTTTCGCGAATATGTAAAAATAAGGTTCCTTTCTTCCAAAAAAAAAAACCACAAAAATCATGCTTTTTAAGGAGTTGCAATCTTAAAATTATAAATTAAAGACAACATTGATTCCGTTTATCAACAAAGAAAAAAAAATTTAAAAGAAAAAGAAAGAAAAAAATTTTGCAATGGGTTCATTTTTAACTTAAAATATATAGTAAAGGCAACATGAACTTATATCTTTTATAAGATAATCTCTAATTTTCTTCCAAAGGTCATTCAGATTTTAAAAATAACTGAAAACAAATGTTAGATGCTTTTCATTTTTAATTAATTTATTTAATGCAAAAATTTACTACAAATAAAAATAAATAAGTTTACTGTTAGTACATTTTTTACACATTACAAGGCAATGTGAAAAAAATTTAAAAGAAAATTTTATGAACACAATTTCTTTATTCATAAAGTAATTATTTATTGCTTTTAATTTTCTTTATTGTATTAACTCAGTTATGAAATTTTTAAGTTGTATTTTTTACTTAAATTTCAAAATTATTTGCAACTTTAAAAACTGGAAATAAGGGTCACGGAATACATTTAAACGAATAAAATAAAACAAAAAGAAATGATTAATTTCTTAAAAAATGAAGAAATAGCACTCATTTGATTTTGTAGGTTAACTTAGAGGAAATATAATCGTTTTTCTGTCTAGAGTTTTCTTTAGAATGAGTTTTTTTCCTGTCTTCAAACTTAAATTATCCAATAACAATAAATGAAATAAGTTTAATAAATTAATAACACATTTGTTGGAGTAAAAAGAAAGCTTTCTCTTAGATTTAAAATAACATAAGTCAAATAATTACGATGTATTACTTTTGCTAAATTAAATTTTTATTTAAATTATTATTACTAATAATTATTAATAATTAAATATATTATTTTAAGATATTTAAGGAAGTAATTACTATTATTAAAGATTGGAGTTATTTATTCTTTATTTAAGTAGCTTATTTTAAAATCAACAAATTTAATTTTTAAACAATAGCAAATAATTTTTTGTTCCAAAAATCTCTGCCTTACTCATTTTACTTCCGTCATCATTAGTACATTTCGCAAGTTAAAAAAAAAATATTAAAAAAAACGAAGTTTTTTTTTTCGTTTTTTACATAATTTGTAACTATTTGTCAAAAAATAAAATACATGAAATTATTTATGACAAGGTTGAGGTTTAATACTCCTGCATGTCTTAATCTAGGTTTGGTCAGAGCCCAGGAAGGAAGAATTGTAAAAATAAAAATTAGATAGCCTCGGAAAGTGTGGAAAACCTATATTCCTTAAAATAACAAAATGTTTAACAACTTTATACACACTAATTGAATATAATAAATAACTACCTGACTATTCTTTTTAAAGTAATATTCAATTTTGAATATTATTAATTCAAACAAAAACAAAAAAATTCTAGCACAAAATAAAAATTTAACGTCAATTAAAATCTTCCAATTTCTTATATTTTAAAGGTTATTTGAATAAATTATAAAATTTATTGTTACAATTAAATAGCAAATGTTCACGCATTGAAATCGAATAATGCAAAACTTTGTATTTAAGGTTCATAATAATAATCTAGTAATTAAAACAAGAGAAGCTATTTTGAATTTTCTTTTAAAAGTAAATAACAGTTTAATTAATAAGTATTTTGAATTTTCACTCATGTATCACAAATTTTCGTTTCAGAGGTCAACATTTTGTCCACAAAAGGAAAGCACAAAAAATTGCGAAAGAATATTCAACTCAAAATTTTATATAATGAATGAAAACGTACATTTTATTTTGTGCTATGTTACATAATTTACTTGACTTTAATCTTTGATTACTGCAATAAAAGTCTAAATTAATGTGCAAAACAAGGAAGAGAGCATTGCATTTTTCTTACAAATGTAAGCATGGAAGGATTTTGCTTATTATCGTATTGTAAGCACGGAGGGGGATATGCTTACTCTTGCTGGCAAGTGTATTAGGGGAGTCCCAAATTGCAAAAATATGCTTACATAATTAAACAAATAATTCCAAGAAACTAAAGTGGTAAGATAAGATATTACCTGATAAAAAACTTCATTTGCTTTAAATATATATACATAAATAATATATAAATAGAAATATATATATATATATTTCCTATTAATATATTTTTGAAGCGAATGAAGTTTTTAATCAGGTAATCTTTGCATAATATTTAAACGGCCCTTTTTAGTCAGTTTTGGAGAACATGCATAATTTGTGAATACAAAATAAGCGTCAAGTCACATTCTTTCAACCAGGGTCCTGCTTTTGTGAATTTGTGCAAATAGGATACTGTTATTGCAAAAATTGCTAAAAATCTTCTTAAGAAGTTTTTAAATTGTAAATAGATGCAAGATTCTGCTCCGCAATTGCTGCTTACTAAATTAGAGATGCAACATACAAATATTTCAATATTTGGTATTCAGCCTATACTGCTCAACAAAGTTTATTTATTTTGGATGAATAATGGAAACAAAATCACTCACATTTTTAATAATTTCATTTGACATATTTTAAGTAACAAAACTCATTTCCATATCACTTTTAATGTGTTACGCATTAAGTAAATTTAAACAATTCTAAATTTATAATATTTTATTTAAAAAATTGCTAAAAAGTAATTTTTATTTACGTAATATTCCATTAATTAATTTTATGCATGAATATAAATTGATCAATTATTTATTTACAAAAAAAATTATCATTTAATATCAATAAGAATGTGCACACGATGTTTGTAAAAGTAGACATATTTTCTTAGAATACTACATTTGGAATTTTAACTTTGAAGGGTCCGTTAACGGACCCAAATTTCTTCTTAACCCCTGAGTATAATTTTATTACTTAAAAAAATAGGAATAAAAATTTACTTACCCCACTGAAGCGGATTTCCGTAATATCTAACAGTACCCATAATGAGGAACACAACAAAAAACAAAAACAGCAGACATAATATCGTCATAAACAACATGTCCCACTGATCAAAAGAGCCATCGAATAAATTCTTGGTCACGGGAATTTCATTTACATTGTCTGGTGCAGGCTTGTTTACATCGCTACCTTCCATTTCATGCCATTGTTGTTTACGTTCAACTTTTAATTCCTCATTAATAGCCTTCTCTCCAGCCTTAATGTTATTTACCAATGAACGACTAATCTCAGCAAGATCTACGCACATCGTATTCATGAACGCCGTGCAGGGGGCTACCTCCCATGACTTATCCATGCAAGGTTCGCACCTACGGCATTTACCTGTCATATCGTCGTACCATTCCTTCTCCTTGCAGAGTTCCGTGGTAAAAACTAATCCGAATGTTAAAAAAGTAGAAAATAACAGCAATAGATGCATGATGGTTAGATACAATTAACTGAAAACAAATTAATTAGTTAAACTATCTACGAAGCAAAGCTAGATGATGTTCACCTAGATGCGATTCATGATTCACACGTTCTGGCAAACACACTCCGACCAAAAGATGAATGAAGATTGGGAAACACGTTTTCCCACACAGAACGATGGGAGACTCTAGGAATTACTCACATCTCTGACGTCAGGATGTTAGAACTTCCTGGCCAATGAGCAGCTACTAGAAAACAAGGTTGCTAGAAATGAGTGGAATTTGGCGATTATTGGCTGGGTTTTCGAGTCTGAAATTTTTAATACTAAAAACATAGATATAAAAAATAAGCATCCTAACATGATAAATCATCCTACGGGGATAGTTAGAATTAGTTTGTCGTGAACAAGCATTTAAATTTTTGTGTTCGAAAATTTTAATTAAAAATCAGTGATTTGTTGTTCAGGTCGGTGTTGAAAAAATTTGCTTGACTCTGGTTTGTGGAAAGTTGTTAAGTCCTCGACAACTTTTAAGTAAATTGTTTCATGATTTTAATTGGATATTAAAAGAAGAAAAGAGGTGTCTGAATATTATAAACGTTATTTATACAATAATTTATAATTATGTAGCTTAAAATATTGCTCAAATGAATATTATGACAATTAACTAAATCATAAGTTATCACAAATTTAATGTATCACATTTGAAGATTTTTGAGCCAATGTTTCACTGATGCTTAGTAAAAAAAAAAAAAAAATTCTAAGAAAAAAAATGATTTTAATAAAAAGTTATTATTAATTAAGATTATAATTTTTCTTAAAATCCCTTCATTTCAAAACCAAACTTGTTTAGTTACGGTAAAACGATAATTAAAAGGTAAACAAATGAGTTTCCTAGATACAATCTGAAAAAATTATGAAAAAGCACTTAAATTTGCAATAACTTTCTAACAATTAGGAATTTTGAAGAAAAAAAATCTTCTTAAATGATAATACGAAATCGCCCTATCAGTTCGCCAAATTTCAACTCCGTATGTAAATAATTCAGCGGACAGTATAGATTGACCAACAAGTTTTATTTTTACTACAATTTTAACTGTAAATAATTATCGAACGATTAATGTAGTCGATTTTTTTTTTATTCCATACAGTGCCTAGAATATTTTCCTACACTCCTTGGTAATGTCAAGTTTCAAAGTCTTAGAAATTTTGACCAGCAAAGCAAAATATAATGTAAAACAAAACAAAAAAAGAAAGAAAAAATTTGCAAAAAAGCACTTTAAAAACTTTTGAACAAGTTGAAATTTCGAAAAAAATTCCATGTTATATTCATGAACTAACGTGGCTCTTTCGGCAAACCGAATTTCAACTCTGTAGTAATTGTAATTACTAATTGAACTTTCCCGCAGCCTGTAGAGTAGCTCGTATGTAATTTTTTCAAATAAATAAAACAGTGAATAATTTTCGAACAAATTATCCAATGTTCAATTTTTTTATTTCATCGTAATCACTGCACACTTTTCTACACACTTTAATAATTTCAAATTTCTACGTCTTACAGTTTTTGCGCTGCCAACAAAATATAACGTTAAGTAGTTGAACACCCATAACAGCGGCAGCGTCGGCGGCCCCTGTAATTTTTTTGTATAGAGAGATGTAAAACAATTTTTTTATAAACAAAACTATGAAACTCGTGAAACAAATATACTCCGCATAATTTTTCTTTAAAAATAATTGTGAATTTTTTTTTTTAATTTAAAAAATATACTTTACATAAGAATGTGTAAAATATCATATGTGCACATAATTATATTTTAAGTATAAAATTTAATATTTTTATACATTGGCGTATAATTAATTTATTTCAAATTTTTATTTTGCAAAATTATAAACACTCATTTAAATTTTGAGAAAAGCTTTTCTATATTACGAGAACGAAATTTAAACGTCTCTAAAAATAAAATACCTCTGATGAAAAAAAAAATTCCCTCGAAAGTAGTATAAAACTAAAGAATAATGGAAATGAATTTCCACTTAAATGATGATATATACTGAAAAATTCACATTTTATTTTTCAAAATTTTTTTTTTCGTATTTCAGATAAGCAATTTCAATTATTTTTTTTAATTAAAATACAAATCAAATGGTCCACGAAAATTAAAATATTCGTTTTGAAAGATACCGCCAATTCGAGAATCCTTTCTATTCGCTCCGAAAGGAGCAATTTCCCACCGGCATCTAAAGTAAATTTAAAATTAAACCAGGAAGATTTCTTTATTTTGTGCCGAGCATCGTAATTTCGTATTTTATTTTGGGTAATGCTTTCTACACGCGTAACATCAACAACTTTAATGTCATGTTTCGAAAATACAATTTTATTTCATAGTCGATATGGTTCGCTGGTTTGCTTTCATGAGCCGAAAAACGAACGCTATCAAAACCGAGTTTAAGAAAAGATGTTGATTCATTTAAATTATATGCAATTTTAAAAATGGATGTTTTCTTATAAAATCTATCATTACGCTAGATTTATTATTATACGTCCATGATGGGTGCTTTAAACTTTTTGACGTATTTTCAAAGAAAAAGCCATCGACCTAACACGGAGATTTTATGTTTTTTTAGTAAAAATTCATTTTTAGTTGTACGCAAACTGGCCATTTAACTTTTCATAAACTCAATCATTACTGAGCGAAACATTCGAAAAATTATTTAGTTCTTCTTAAGGTTTTTTGAAAGCAAAACAGAGAAAAATAATTTCTTTTTCAATCCAGAATTAAAATTAATAGTAGTTATCAGATCGGTATTTATTTTCTTTATCTTTTATTATTATTTATTTATTTATTTATTTATTGAGGAGGATGCTGTAGTTTCAAAATGTATTATTACGTGTTAGTTTATGTTTTTAAAAATACTTTCATTTTGGAAGAGCCGGCAATTTGTTTGTATGCGCCATTTCTGTTTATTTATTTATTTGTGGAGAAAAAATACACTTAATGTCAGGAGTTGAAATTTTTCAGATTCGAACCGCAGGTGTTCTTTCTGAAAGAGGTAATTATTATTAAAGAAATACTGCTAATAAAACAGCTACCTTTCACTCAATTTATCCTAGATGCAATATTTTTCAGAGTCGTACAGCAGGTGTTCTTTCTGAAAGAGGCAATTATTATTAAAGAATTACTAATAAAACACCTACTTTTTACTCCATTTATCCTAGATGCAATATTTTTCAGAGTCGTACAGCAGGTGTTCTTTCAGAAAAAGGTAATTATTAAAGAAATACTAATAAAACAGCTACTTTTTACTAAATTTATCCTAGATGTAATATTTGTTTAAGAGACGATCAACAGATGTTCTTTTTGAAAGAGATGATTATTATTAAAGAAATATACTATTGAAACAGCCATTTTCTACTCATTTCATCTTCAACGCTTTGAATTTTTTCAGAGACTAACAGTAGAAGTTTTCGAAAGGAGTAATTATTAACTATTAAATATCATTTAAGAAATACTAATAAAGCAACCACTTTCTACCAAAATCATCCTCTGAGCATTGAATTTTTTTCAGAGGCAAACAGCAAATGTTCTTTTCAGAAGGAGCAATTATTATTTAAAAAATATTAATAAAACGGGCACTTTCTACCAACTTTATCGTCGGCGCATAGAATCTTTTCAGAAGCAAATAGAAAATATTATTTTCAAAAAGAGTAATTATAAATCAATATTTATGAGATACTAATAAAATGGCCATTTTCTACAAACTTTTTCTCGGCATATTGCATATTTCAGAAGCAAAATGTAGATATTCTTTTCGAAAGGAGTAATTATTATTAAAGAAAAGTATAAATGGTCACTTTCTACCAACTTTATCCTAGACGCACTGGTTCTTTGGAGTCAAACAATAGATATTCTTTTAAAAAGAAGTAATTATTAATTATTATTTACAAAATACTACTAAAACTGCCCCTTCCTACTAACTTTTTGCTCAGCACATTGAATTTTTTCAGAGGGAAAAAGTAGATGTTCTTTTCGCAAGGAGTAATCATTAATTATTATTTAAGAAATATTAATAAAACGGCCACTTTCTGAAAACTTTATCCTCGGCCGTTACACAAGGTATTATACAATCAGGCTAACGGTTCATTCATCAGGGTAACGGTGAGAGGTTTTCGTGGTTTTCCTTTCTTTCTTTCGTGGTTTTGGATGTAACGCAAATGCAAGTTAGTTCCATCAAAATGTAATCAACAAAGTCAAATTTCTCCGAATACTTAATCAGAGAGTCCCCTTGTCCTCAGGATTGGGTTCAAAACTACGAGGCAATGGAGTTGAACATTGTCAGTCATTAACTCAAAACATTGCATTTATTTTTTAATAAAAAAAACTGTATAAAATTATAAATTTTATTTATTCCTCCACCTTAAAATCATTCAATGAATAAAAAATTTTCACTAATTTTTTTCATTTATTTTTTATGTAAAATAAAAAAACATGTGTAAAATAATTAATGTAAAATAATAAATAATAATCAAATAATAAAAATTGAAAGCAATCGGTTATGACATTTTTGCCCATTTTCGTTTGAAAGCAAGAAAAATAAAAATGGAACATGAAAAAAAGACATTTTTTGCGACTTTATTTTTTTTTTAAAAAAAAGAAGAAAAAACTGCATTATGTAGTGCGCCAAAAAAAGCGAAAAATCCTATATTATAGTACTCCTTCCATTCAAGCGAAGGAGTAACATTGAGTAGGTAGTTTTTACCGCACACCGGAAGCTCTTTCTCCTTTTCCACTATAATAATATTCACGAAGTTGAATTCATTTGTTTTTGTTCCATTTTCTAATAGAAACCAATTAATTTTGGTTTTGTGCATCTGGTTCTGTCATAATAAAAATTCTTTTTTATGTAACTATCCTTTTAACATTTTGCTTCCTCTACAAATATAATATTAAAACAGGCATAAACTAAAAAAAAAAGAAAGTAAATGTTGTTTGTCTAAACATTGAAGAGAAATTTATAAATAAACATCACGTTGATGCATTTTTTTTCCTTTTCTTTTTTGCTTCTCTTATCTTATTTTGATTTAAGTAAACAATTTATTTACTTTTTAACATAAAAAATAATGCTGTTTATGATAAGAAGCATTTCTTTAATATTTTCAAAGAACTAAGAAATGATAAGAGATTTTTTAGGTAGGTAGGTA